CTCCTCCTCTCTGTCTCTCACTCATATCAAACTAACGGTTGGAGGGGTGTGTTTAAAAGGATATTCTGCCCAAGCCGTCAAACTGACATCATCAGAGAAGGACTGCCATTCCAGAGCAGAAGCAAATGTTCAGATTTTGATTAAAGATTACCAAGACAAACAATTTTTTTCAGCGGATTAACTTGCACGGATTGTTAACATCAAGACTAGCAATGTGCGCTAGTAAAGTACCGTATTGACCCGAATATAAGACGATGTTTTTTTCTTGGAAAAACATCTGAAAAAACGCGGTCGTCTTATATTCAGGGTCTAGACTTTGACATGTCAATAATACACCCACAACAATAGGTGGCGCCAAATGCGCATAAAACGAGTGTGCCATGATATACGTAAATGCGTGTTGTAAAGATCGTGAGTAAAAACAAAAGAAAAAGAAAACCTTACAGCTGCATGAGTCGTGACTATCACGTTAGCCTGATAGGACCAACTCTACTTCTACTGTTAATAAGATTTTGGTAGGCTACTATTAGATTGATGGCCTAAATGTCCTAATTCAGATGGGCTACCTTTTTTTTATTTTTTTTATTTTTTTTTATGGTATATCAAAAAGTGTTTTTTTTTTTATGTGATTGTTGGTACATTTTACCGGTTTTTACCGTACTTTCAAAACAAAAATTAAAATAGGAAAAATGTGCAATGTGAAAATAATTGAAGACAAAATGTGTTTTACTGAGAAAAAACAAGATTTGTTTTTTAAAAAGCCTTTTTCCAAAAGGTACATCTGAAAAAAGGGGGGTCGTCTTATAATCAGGGTCGTCTTATATTCAGGCCAATACGGTAATAAAATTCGATATGAATATCCCACATTTCTGCCACAATACCATGGTGCAGTTAGTGTTTACTACACTGTAAAAAAAAGACACCCCAGGGTGTCGTGGCACCCCTGTTGGGGGCACTGGGCTTTATTGGCCCACAGAAGAATTTTGTTGAGTTGGAAATCCGCTACTCCTCCTCCTGTGACAGATTGGCTGGAAGATGTGATGTTTTTTTTTTAAATTAGAAAAGATCAAATTTACACTAGGGGGATCTGTGGACAGGTTTTACTCGAAATGGGAACCCTTTTTGTCATTTTAAAAACCTGAAAGAATTACCCAGCTGGTATAGGTATAGTATAGGTTGTTATGGTATAGTAGAAGGAAGGAAAATGTAACTTTCATTGTTTTAATGTTGCTTTACTCCTTCAATAAAATTAAAAAAAATATGAAGTGTCATGCAGGGAATTTTGGGAGTGTCAATTTATGGTTTTTCACTGTAAATTATACAATGACTTTTTATTTTTCACTTCCAAAAATCGTATTTTACTGTAAAATTACATAATGTAATTACTATATTCGGCGCATAAATGTATGGAAACTTACTGTTAACCAGTTATAACAGGTTTTTACTGTAGCATTTTTACAGTCTTTTACTGTTAAAATCACAATTTTTTAGTGTACAGATTTCATTTATGCACATAAGCATTAATCAGTGCACACACACAGAGCACATGAAATATGGTAGATAGAAGCTCATACTGGTTTGCAACGACATGAGAATGAGTAAATGGTGCTTAGATGGTGACAGTTTTCATTTTTGTGTGAATTATTGCTTTAAAAATCCTCCTTCAGTCTTCAGCCAAAAATAGACTTGAGGATGGATGTAAAGCAATTACTATTGAAATATTGAATATTCAATGTAATAATAATAACAGCCAAAGTACATAAGTTCAGGTACATTGTGATTATAAAGAATATTCAGCTTGGGGTCAAATGAAAGATGTTTGGTTTAAAGAGAACTACTGTGAATGTCCTCCAAGGATTGGCAGAAGAGCCAAAAAATAAATAAAAAATTAGTTCGCAGACATAAGGCATTTCTTTTCTTTTTAAAAAAAAATCCCCATCCAGGTCCTAAACTGTTTTGATAATGGCAGCAAAATGTCTTATCGCATCCAAATGAAAGGGCTGTTGAAGTGAAAATTGTATTAATGTATTTTTGGAATGAACTGCATTAAACATAATATTTGATATTTTTTCCCCAAGTCCAAAACATAGCCACATGTCTGGATGCCTAATCTGGCCTTCAGAGAGCAGATTAGATGTTTTTCACCTGCGTCAAGCTATTTTAGTTTGCACTGCACAGATTAGAGTGGATATTTACAGGCTGTCAAAACCCACTGAAAGGATTACAAAGTCTTGTCTCAGTCCCCAACACCCCACTACTCGTCTGGACAACCGTTTAATTGGACCACCATCCCCTCAGGATTAGCACAGGAGATTTATGCCACGCCACCTCCAGCACTTCCAGTCTGGTTGTCATCGAGGGGCTAAATGTTATTGTAGATGTTTGGGTTGACCATGATGGTTTCTTGTGAGCACACTTGCTCATAATTCCAGTTTGATTTAATATAAGTTGGAGAGTGAGTAAGAATGCTAATAGATGAATAATGGCTCCCTCTTTTATTGTGTTTGTAAAGGTTTTTGTTTGGCTAAATGGCTGAAGGCATTTTAGACTTCAGTCAGGTCAAGAATTATTGCCGCTTCACATTTATCTTGTATGAACTGCTTTTGTTTCTTTTTCTAATTAATCTTTTTTTTTCCCCCTCTCATTTTCCCTAGATGGCAAGTGAATCAAATTGGTGTTAGTTCCAGTGGGTCATCAATTTTGTCTTGTGTGTCGCTGTGGACGAAGTCTCCAAGCTGCAAAAGTGTAGTCAGTTTGCACAAAAGTGTGAGATTGCGTGCCTCATCCAACAATTTGTCCTGCTGAGGAGCTGCTCAGGACTGTTTGCCAGCTCCCTACTTGGGGCAGAGACAGCGCCCCCACTCTCCTGCCAAAATGGTGCTGTCACAGAGGCAACGAGATGAACTGTGAGTCTGAATTCTCATGCACTCAAAATACACAGATCTGTATCTGTCACATTAATAGTCTACCATATTTGAAATTCTGTCACTTACCATATTGTCCAGAAAACAAGTCACACAGGGTCAAAATTGCACTGTTTAGAGAAAAGCAACAAAGATAGGTCGGACCAGTGTATAAGACACTTTTTTTTTTTATTACGTTCAGAAATTATGTAAAATACCGTAAAAGTTTAAATAAAGCGAAACATAAACATTTTAGTTCCCCTCACTCCACATCCTTTAAACTTGCCTGTATTCAGAACAGAACAGGAATGAAAAATTTAAGTATAAAACAAGCATAAATTATGGTGGTATTCATCATTTTCATCATTCAACATTTACTATAAACACCAAGTTTAAATAAAAATTATTTAAAGAGAAACTGAAACTGCCAGAGTGTGGGAAATAACTCTACAGGTCCATCTCAATAAATTAGAATGTCGTGGAAAAGTTCATTTATTTCAGTAATTCAACTCAAATTGTGAAACTCGTGTATTAAATAAATTCAATGCACAC